GAAAAAGGAGAAAAAAGGAAAAGCAAGATCACTCAAAGCAAATAAGAAATGGAGCTTTAGACTCAAGAGCCTAAGTGGACTTCTGCCTATATTGCAACTACAGAAAAGAAACCGCAAAGACCTGTACCCAACAGCAATCTGCAGAAAATACAAAAAGAAGGAAGAAGACTTTGAACACCTAACATCCTGCGAAGCTGACGAACAATGCTGGATGGAAAAGGAGTATTCGATAGCAAAAGAAGTTTGGTTGAACCTAAATGACTCTGCCAAGAAGAAAATCTCCCAAAACAATATTTACTCAGCATTCGCGGGTAGAAGCATTAGAGACAGACACAAAAAAAGATGCTATCTGGCAAGAGGACTAATCGAGACAGACCTATCAGCCTCTCTCATATCAACAAAAATGAGGTAGAACTAATAATACTTGAATGGTGGAACAAGTGGCACAACTTCTTCCAAGAAGAAATCTGGCTACATCAATGAAAGTGTTTGAAAAACCCACGTGCTTGGAAAGAAATATGTTAAATCTATTAAGATAATCAACCCTCAAAAGTAAATTATTTTTTACTATGTAAGTATGAATATAATCATATTAAATATAATAATCGGTAAGAAACTTACCAGTTCACAAGAGAAGGGTCCGTAATCTCATTCATGTAAGTAATAAATTCTTGCTGAGCCTCGTTAACTGAGCTCATTCTTGATCTTACAAAATCAACATGTTCAAGTTGATCATACAACGGCGTCGTCCTTGGTTTTTGTGCCATTCTTTCGATAAGTTAAAAATAAAAAATATTAAATTCTGCTTTTTTATACGTATCGGTTTATCAAATCACAATTCTGCAATTGGTAATCCTGGTAATCATATTGTACCACCAGAGATTCGAAATTTTTCTACAGTGACAGTAATTTCAGAATTTCTTGACTTTTTCCCTAACACTAATAAACTAAAAAAATGGAAAATCTTAAAACAACGTTGGAGCTTGACGATCTCGTAAATCTTGAGACGATGTAAGTAGACCTTTACTCCTCAATATTGGTCTGATCACATCCAAAATCCTATAAATCAAAAATAGGTTTATAGAAATAGGCAGAGAAGACGGGCTAAAAAATGGCATTAAATCAGGAATTTTAGAAGGTCAATTACTTGGATGCGAAAAAGGTTATGAGTTATTAAATGAAATCGGATTTTACGATGGTGTGACTGAAATGTGGCTGAAGATATTAGAAAAAGGGTTGAGTATACATAATACTAAAAAACCAATAAATGAACGGTGAATTATTTTTGCTTTCAAATTAATGTTTAAAAAGAATTGGTTTAATTGGTCATAACTAATCTAGCTTTAATAATAAATAGCTTAATTAAAAAACTTACTTCTCTACGAGAACTAATTTCAACATTTCCTATTGAAAACCAACAGAACGTAGAATTTTTAGATTTATTAAGTAAAGTTCGATCAAAATATAAAGTTTGCACCTCACTTTTAGGTGTAGCTAATTCTCAAAAATTTAACAAAACTAGTAATGAATCCGACATTGGAGATCAAGGTATTAGCGATAGCACAAATACTCATGACGGTAATATGATTTTTTGATGTTAATATATTTTTTTTAAGAGGTTTATAAGTGTGGCACTTCAACTTCATAAACACAAATATAAAGTGTATAAATAACTGTTTTATATGTTGGCAAATTTAATATATAAAATAAAAAATATTTTTAGAAAATTTAATTAATTAGTTTTTGAGATATTTTAATTTAAAAATTAAAAAAATATTACTAACAATATTTATTATAAAACGCGCCTATAGTGGGTTTGCACCTATATATTATATGTTTTATTATGTTTTTTGGATTTTTCTAAGTTTTGATTATAAAAATTTTTAATACAAAATCTTCATGTTAGTATTTAGATTAGAGTTTGAGTTTGAGAAGTGGTTTTTAGAGGCGTAGAGCATTTTTACTCAGAATATCTTTCATTGATTAATTAACTAGTTACTAATATTCAAATAAAATAAAAGCAATATTGTCACTTTTGATATATAGAAAGAAGTTAATAGGGATTTTTTTTAATATAGCTAGGCAATATAGAAATATAATAAAATTATAATATAAAAAACTCTAATTTTAATTTTAATCTAACTCTAATTTAAACTATAATCTTTACTCTAACTCTAACTATTTATAAATTTGTTTAAATTAATTTAAATAATTATTTTTATATATTATAATTTTATAATAATTTTATATTGACTAGCTATACTAAAGATCAACTATTAATTAGTAATTTATAAGTTAACTAGAGAGTGATTATAGTAAAATGTAATACAAATTACTTATAGAAATTAGGGTTTTGCAAATATAATATATGTGTACCTAAAACTTTTTTTTTATACTAAGTTAACTACTCTTTTAACTTAAGAAACTTTTGTAGAGCTTGTTAAGATACATCTAATAGTAGTTAATTCATGATCCACATAAGAACCAGTAAAATTAATTAGTAAATTATAATGATATTTACTATTAAATTTTGCTTTTTTGGAATCTGGTGTTTTTTCACGAAAAACCTTTTTCTTTACTAAATAAACATCTTTTTAAGCTCTAAGTAAAGTTGTATAAGAGTGTCTTGAGATCAAAATAGCAGTTAAAATGTTAAAATTAGCTCGGTGACTATATGTTTTTTTCTTTATAAATAAAAAAAAAACATATAGTTGCAAAGACTAAAGTACTTATATCTTGCAATCTACTAGGCCAATTTTAATATTTTAACTGCTATTTTGATCACAAAAACTTCTCTACAACTTTATTTAAAGCTTGAAAAGATGTTTATTTAGTAAAAAAAAATGTTTTCCTTGAAAAAATACCAGATTTCAAAAAAGACAAAATTTATATACAGTCAGACCTCTCTAAGTACACTCTCTCTAAGTGCACACCCTTTCTAAATGCATGCTCAAGTGCCGGCCCAAATATATGCTTGACCTTCATAAATGCACCTTTCTTTATTATTCTCTTTATGCATGTTATTAAAGTGTGGTCCCAAGGGCATGCACTTAGAGAGGTCTGACTGTAGTAAACATATCTCTACTTTTACTATGTTTTGTCACTAGTTTTTAGATGGATCATGAATTAAATTATTTAAATTAGCCTGGTAAATGCTAATATATTTTTAAAAAATTTTTTATTAATTATATAAATTTTTTTAAAACAATACTATTATTTTACAAAGAAATTTATATAGTTAAAGAAAGGTTTTTTAAATAATAAATTATTTAAAATTAGCAAAAAATCATATAATTAACAATTAATAAATTTGGAGATAAGTTTAATAAAAAGTCTAATAACATGTCTAAATCAATTCATAATATATAAAAAAATAGTAAAACATTCTTAAATTAATATTATACTATTTATATATAGCTTTTTAATTTTTAATTTATATTATAAGACATATTTATAATTTTGGTAAGAGCTTTTATTAAAATAATTATATTTTTCAATTTGTATAGATTAAAAAACCTGTATAATTTTTAATAAAAAAAATTTTTAGACCAACTTTTAAAACAAAAATTTTCAACAAAAATAGTAAAACTATATTTAAAAAAAAACATAAGACTGATAAGAACTATAAACTAGTATCTATTATTTAGAAATAGTTCTTATATACTATTTGCTAATAGGTTCAAAGCTTATTACTTACTATAAAAATAGTACTTGTTATTTAAAAATAGTTTTTATATGCTATTTGCTAATAAGTTTAGAGTTTATCACTTACTAAAAAAAATATCAGCAGTATACTTGGATCTACTTGTCTTATTATTTTTAAATAAATATATAAAATGAAATCAATAGAAAAAAAATAAACTGTTTTTAGTAAAATTTTTTTAATTTTAAAATTAAAATATCTTAACAACTAATTAATCAAATTTGATAAAATTTTTTTTATTTTAAATTTAAAATTATATAGAATTAAAATAAAAAAATATTTATTAAATATGATAAAATAATTGCCAAAATATTTAAACTTAGAGTTAAGAAAACTTTTATTTAGAAAAAATTTGTTTCTTTTTTATTAACTTCACTCTATATACTCTTTTTTTAAAAAAGTACAAGGTTTATATTCTTTACTATTACTCACTTGTGCTTACAATAAAATTTTTGAAAAAAGTAGACAAAACAACTTATCTTTATTAGAAAATTAGTATTGTTTACTTCTTTCAAATTTAAACAATCTAATAAATTGCAACTATATATAGTATTTTGTATAGTTATAGAAATAAACACAGTACTATTTATAGAAGATTAGAACCTAGTTTTTATTTATATCCAAATATAGTTGTATATTGAAAAAAAGATTTTTTATAAAGTGAAGCTTTGCAATCAAGATATAGGATGAAATTAATAAAAAAAGAACAAATTTTTTCTAAATAAAAGTTTTTTTGACTTTAAGCTTAAATATTTTAGTATTTATTTTATTAAATTTTATAATTTTTTTTTATTTTAATTTTATATAATTTCAAAATTAAAATAAAAAAAAATTTAGCAAAATTAATTAAGAATATTACTAACTATAACCAGTGGTAACTATTATCAAGATGTCTATATCTCAAAAATATACTAAGTAAACGAGATTAGATATCCTAAGTAAAAATGTTCAGGACCTTCAAAAACCTTATAAAAACTAAATTAAAACTTTTTATTACTCTATATTATATTATAAAAAAAAAAAATTCTTAATACCTTACTCTAACCTTATAGAAAATCTTTCATCTAATTGGTTGATATAAATCAATTGCACAGATAACTTATTTATACACTTTAAAGTACTTTTTAAAAACATAATATTTTACTAATAAAAAATCACTATAAAAGCTATTTTTTATATTAAAAAAACATTTATATTTACTATACAAAAATAATCAAAAATAATTAGTAATTCTAAAAACTTTACTTAAATAATAAAGTATATTTACTATTTATTGGACTATATTGTAAAGTAATGATAGCTATTTTATTGTATTAGATTTAGATAAACTTTTATTTTTAACTGTTTATAGTTAGACTTCTCTAAATACATACTCTTGGGACTATACTTTAATAATGTGTATATAAAGAATAATATGAAAAAATATATTTATAGAAGTTAAATATATGTTTAGACTAGCACTTGAGTATGCATTTAGAGAGAGTATACACCTGTAGAAAATGTATTTGGAGAGGTTTGACTGTAATTTAAATAAGTACAAGCTTTTAGTAGTAGAAAATTTGGGTTTAATATTTAAATTTAGTTAGTTTTTATAGTGTTTTAGTGCTTGTTAACTGTATATTAATAGTTGTATATATTACTTTTGATATAATAGATGCCATAGTTTTAGTTCTTCATTTTGCTATATTAAAAGCTCCATAATATCAAAATCTTATAATATATTGAATATTATAGTAAATTATAAAAATTTTTAGTAAAGTTATATTTATAACACCATGTTATATACTAATTCTATACTATATTTCAAAAATATACTATGTAAATAAGATTGGGTATCTTAAGTAAAAATGTTTAGAACTCATGAAAACTTTACAAAAAACTAAAATTAGAACCTTATATCTAATATATATTATATTATATAAAAAACACTTATATATTTTAAAGCTGCACTCTAACCCTAATTTATCTCTAATTAAGACTATATAGGTATTATATAACATGGGTGTTATGAATATAATATTTTAAATTTTTATTATATTAAAAGAATAATTTTTTTAATTACAATTTTGCTAATTTGAAGAATTAGTCTTTTATTTAAGTTCTTTATTTATATAAGTACTGCCAAAAAAAACTTGTTATTAGGCTTTTAATTATATTTGTATTAAATATATTCTCTAAAGAATTAAATAAATTTTGTTTAGTACAAAATATAATTAAAAGCCCAATAACAAGTTTTCTCTTGGTAGCACTTATATATGCTTTTTTAATAAATTTGAGTTTTTAAATACAAGTTTTAATTATTATTATATATTGAACTTTATATAATATGTTCTAATAGAAATATAATTTTAATATTATTAGAATTTTGAATAAAAATCTAATTCTAAAAATTTGTAAAATAGTTTACTAATATAAATAAGTATTTGAAGTATGTTAAAATTG